GGGATTCGAACCCCCGACCTCGTGATCGGAAATCCATACCCTTAACCATTAGGCTATTGACTCTATAAATAAAACAAATATTTTACTAATTACATCAGTTTAGTCGTTCTGTAGATACATTTTATACTGTAGATTTGCATTTATAATATTAGTAAGAGTAAGATAGTAAGATTTTCTTTGCATTTAAAAGTTTAAAATTAAGTTGTTTATATTTCTAGTATAAACTAAATTTTTATGACCTAAAATAATTTCATCAGATAGATTTTTAAAGTGTCATCATGTTATATTTTTCCTGGAATTTTTTTTTGTTGCCTTTATATTTTTAATTTTTTTAATTTAATCTACATCTATATATATAAAAGAAAGTCGTGTTAGTTACACTATTTATAACTCAAGAACGGCTTCACCGATATGCCTGAAAATTGGTGAGGAGGTAGCTTAGAGCCAGGAGACGGACATATAATACTATTTATTCTTTTTTTCGAATTTATGTCTTGAAGAGCTGCTTTTTATTGCCTGCTAAATGTTTAGTTAGATGTGATGTGGATGGATGGATGAGTGTTTGAAGATATCTCTGGAACAACTGAACGGATCTCGATTAAATTTGGCATACGTATAGAATATAGTCTGAAAGAACACATAGGCTACACTAATTTTTTTTATATATCCACGCGATCCGAGTCGCAGGCGATAGCTAGTTTTAAATGTATTTCAATAGTAACAAAGTAGGATGTATTTTCTATTATTAAAACCTACTATTTAAATTCTTTTTTGTCGTATCATAAATATCTAGTTTAAGAGAAAAGGTCGTTGCAGTAATAAAACATTTCATAGTCAATACTTTGGTCTAGAGAAGTATTTCTTTTAGGTTAACTCTTTATCATAAAGTTTTTTATAACTTCATATATTTAAGAATACTATTTTACGAGTTATTTTTACACCGTTTTGTATTTAAAATGTGCACTAAAATATTCATCATCATCAGCTCACTAAACATCCCCACCAAGGGGCTTGGAGCCTACCCTAAGTTAAGGGTGATTAGGCTATAGTCAACCACGCTGGTCCAGTGCGGGTTAACTTCACACATATATTTGAATTTCTTCTCAGATATGTGCATACATCACGATGTTTTTTTTACCGTAAGAACGTCGGATAAATGTACATATGTAAATCGGAAATCGAAAAAACACATTGGTACATGGCGGGATTCGAACCCAGGAACTGCAGATTGCAAGTCAAGTGCTTGACCACTGAGCCACCGAAGCTCCGCATATATAATATTAGAATATAGTTCTGGTACAGAGAAGTCATAACATATCAACATCTAAAAGGCTATATCTCTGAAAGTATGACGCTGTGTGTGTACCTTTGTTGGCAAGTCCTTTAAAATAATTGCTTCTCTTTGTAGCACACTCTATTGACATTATGTTAGAATGATATCTTTGTAAAGAATGAAAGCCGCTACTGTACACAACAGATATACTGAATATCACAATAAACCTAGAGAATTCTAAAATGTGTCAAGAAAAAAAAATAAAAAAAAATCTTTTTTTTCCATATCAGACAGTGTAATTAAAGGGCTATTTAATTATAAAAAAGCTAGCTGTCGGATCCGACGCACGGAATGAAAAGAAAATTTAGTAATTTATGTCTTTGAGATCAGATCTATGCAGCCTTTCTGGAGATAACTTCTAGCAAACATCCATCCATCCAAACATAGGTATTTATAATATAAGTAAGATTAAATAATTATTTAAAGTATACTTACCGTTCTGTTATAAAATATCGGTCTATTTTATCAAAAACTAAAAAATAGTAGCCTATGTGTTCTTTCGCAAAATTTCATCGAGATCCGTCGAGCCGTTTTGAAGATGCCTTCAAACATCCATCCATCTTATCATTCGTATTTACAATATTTCTAAGATCTATAAAGTTCAGATTCATTGAAAGTGGAAAACCAAACCTCGAGTTTTGTCACTATTATAAATATCTTTCTGCATTCCAATCATTTTGTGTCGTCTGCTTCGGTGCTGCATTAAGCATTTTTCAGAAGGCGCCAGAGAGAGACGAAAGATCTATCATTCCCTTTTCTTCCCGTTTCAGAAGTGTACCGTATGTATTTTCAGAATTTCAGTTACAGTCGCAATCCAACCGTGGTAAGGGACGGACGTCTCTATGTCGTTCGAAATTCGAACACGCGAGTTTTAAAAATCGAAAACGGTAGTTAAAGGTCTAATAAAATTAACTGTAATGTGTTTAGTGTTTTAAGAAGTGTTTGAAGTGTGATTTTTTTTTATTAAGAAGTGTACACTTGATGTTTTGACTTTGTTATTTGTGCCAGATCATTTTAGATGAAAATAACCTTAGTATATTTTCGGTCGAGGACGTTAAACTAACACTATTTCTTGGACGGTTTACATATTATGTGATAAATTTTTAATTCTATTGCGAATCTCTTTCAGGTAAGATTAGCAAAAAAAATTTTGTTTTCTAATTTTTTTTTAAAAGATTATTTTATATTATTTTAAAAATAAATTAAATAATTTTCTTAACAAATTTTAATAAAACTTGATAATATTTTTATTCTTGTTTTATAAGACTAGCTAAGTAGAGTCGACATAGACAACTTTAATTGGCTTAAAGTAGCCAAATTAAACAGTATATCGAACGTTGCAGTTTTGTGGTAAATAAACAAAAAATATACATTTATATACACTTATATATCTTTTTATATACAGACTTTATTCCAACGCGTAAAAATTTATATATATATATTACTGCGCTGAGATGACAAATGTACTCAAACTGTCCCTTATGAGGACTGACATATACTTAATAGCATATTAGTAAATTAAGGCACAAATATGACTGATACCTTCTCCCTTGTTCACGTAAAGTTAGGTTACGTTTTCGGGTTAGAGGGCGGAATGACGTGGTCCCGTGTGGTAAAATTTTGTGAAGGCTCGACTACTTTGTCATGGTCTTGAAGCTTAATGTAAGATCCTGGTGTGGTCAAAAGTTCCATTGGTGATTCTCGGACCCTCGCCACCGAGGGGTTTTAGTACGAATTGTCTCTCCTTCCATATAAAAGACAGGGAATCTTTTAAAGATTCGAACTCCGTAATTAAAACTAGTGAGACTGGGTTAGTTTTTTTCTTCACTCCTTCAATCGTCTTTGTCAATAACATGATACAATTTCTAACTGAATCAACCCGTTAAAATACTCTTAAAATCTTAATAGTAATTGCAAGCAAAAATTTTAATTAATCTTAAATTTTTTTTTTAAAATACAAACATTATCTTGTGTCCTCAGAATTTTACATTAAGTTTTAACAAAATATTTCTAGCGATTTAGGAACTAAATGGTGATATATAAAAACATGGATCAGTTAAATTTTCAACGATAAGAATGTAATTTAAATCATTGTGTAAAAACTATGATTTAAAAGTTTTTCCTTGTATTTAAGTGACGTAGAAAGGTTTTAATAGTGTTTCGTTCTTTGAAGTTTTCACGTGATGAAGTCACAGCCATTTTGGAGAACATCTCCGACTTTAATGGACATGCTATTAAAGTCAGCGTAATTTAGTGGTGTTTTTAAAACACGACCACCATTGAAACGTATCACTGAATAAACTGAACACTTGATTTTTGCGAGTTCACACTATTTAAAACTTGTATTAAAACATGTTTGTAAATAAGACAATAATTGTTTTAACATAAATTCCAAAATATCTTTAACTTTAGTTATTTTTTTTTAATATTAGAAGATTTTTTGTTAAGCTTAGTAATATTATAAATGCGAATGTTTAGATAGATCGATGTTTGTTTGTTTGAATGTATCTCCAAAACGGATGCATGGATCTCGATGAAATTTGGCATAGATGTAGAAAATAGTCTGGAAGAAAACATAGGCTACTATTTATTTTTATTCCGCGCGTACGGAGTCGCGGGCGGCAGCTAATTTACTAATATTTCTTGTTCAATTCTAACTAAGCTTTATGGTTTTGCTAGGATATGGTGAACAACATTAGTCGAATGGTGGGATTCGAATCCCCGACCTCGTGATCGAAAACCCGTAACTTTAACCATTAGACTATTGATGCTGCCATTGTCATCTTAATTTAAAAAATAAAGAAAATTTTAATCTGATATCAACTCATTAATTAGAGATAATATTCGATAAACAAAAAAAAAGCTCGTACAATATTGTTATCCTTGTCACTCTCGTTGAAAAAAATGAAATGACAATAAGTTCTTGTACTTTTAAACTCTCTGTTAGGAGGAGAAATCTGGGTACTCACGTTTCGCTCCAGTTGCGGCAATTTGGAATATTAAAAAAAGAGTTATTGCGACATTGTTGAGTAAAGTATATTGTGCTCTTCCAGATGCCTTTTGTATGAATTAAGGAATATGTCTTATTTTCATTTCATTGTTATTAACCTTAGCTTCTGAACAGGAAAAATGTTATCATATTTTTTTTACTTCTCAAAAAACGTAATATAGCGAGATACAGTAGAATAAGTGCGAAACTTCTATAATCGAAAGTCATTGCCCATTTTCGATTGACGATTTCCATGCTCGTGGAAATCTTAATAAAATGTTGTATTCTCTTGGACTCTTACTTATCCAGGTTCGATTGGATTTTACAGATTTTGTGTTATTTTAGATTATGTTCTACATCTATGCCAAATTTCATCAAGATCCGTTAAGCCGTTCAGGAGATACCTTAAACAAACATCCATCCATCTAAACATTCGTATTTTTAATATAAATAAGATTATATACGGAACACACCAATATTATTACATACATAAGAAAAGTCATTCTAAATTATTTTAAACCAATTAACTCTCGTCAATAAATAGCAAAAGTAATTTAAAATCAAATGCGTTACATCAAACGAAATTTTACATAAACTGAACGAAAAAAAATGTTACGGAGTTAATTTCCTTTGAAAATAAGCGTTTCGGAAGTTATTAGGTTTTTTGTTCTGAAATAGCTTGGGGATTCTTCGTCCCTTATTGGAAAGAACTCCTTTTCTATCTAAAAAAATTGCCTGAAAAAGAGAAAAACAATAAAAGTGTTATTATACCTTGCTCCAAATAAATCTATTCAAGATTTTTTTATACGTTTTGTTTCTTGTTTTTATTATATTTTTTATCATTTCATTCTTTTACCTTTACAATGAAACACTACGAAAATTTCAATATATTTTTGTTACAAAAGCCGTATGTTTGAAAATATGAATAAAATTTTTGATGTTTCATGTTTATTTTATTCATGTTTTTTTATGAAAATAATATTTAAAAGTTAATTTTCAATTCGAATTTTAAAATTCAAATTATATTAAAATTGTTATTCGTTTGAATATTTCCTACAAAATTGGTTAAAACTTAATAAATGCTTTTGTTTTCCTTTTCCAATTCAATTAATTTTAAACTTTTTTAAACTATTCGACAGATTTTGTTGGCTATTTATATTTCGATTCTATGATACATTTTGTTTTTATATTATACGAGTACTAGCGGACCCGAAAACCGTTGTCCTGTCTCCACGTCTTTAATTTGAATAAATTAATATGAAGTTAATATTTGACGAAAATTGTGAATCTAAACCATTCCCAGATCCCCTTGAATACACACAAAAAATTTCATCAAAATCGGTCCAGTCGTTTGAGAGAAGTTCAGTGACATACACACTCACACAAAAATTATATATATATTATATTTTAACCATAGCAAAAGGTTGCTTAATTTAATTTATAGAATGCGATCCTCATTTATTTTTCTGCTATCCTTCTATTTTCTCTTTAAATTTATATTTCTTTTAAATTGACCAAAGAGGTTATCTTTTACAAATAACCATGAAGGTTTCATATTACATTGAAAACTTTTTGTTTTTATTATGAAAAGATGCGAAAGTTTAATCTCCTTCATGTGTAGCACGTAATTTTAAATTATATTTCATTTAATTAATATTTTAACTTCCATTAATATATTTTTACAAAAGAAAGCAGATTATTTAAATGAAATCAGAAATGTATCAGGCTGGCTATTATATTTAATTTCCTATAGCAATGAAAGAGTAATTAAAACGTTTGCCATCGAACTGAAATGCTTTCTCGTTTATTGGATGTGTGCACGTTCTTAATAAAGCCTGCATCTGAAATATTGAACGGTAAAGCCTTGCTGTAAACTAAATGATGCGGCTACAGAAAGCCATGATTGAAATACGTATTAAGAAACCTTTAGTATTGTTTTTTTTATGTTACTAGCTGACACACATGACTCCTTTCATTTGAATATATAAAAAAAAACTTAATTAGTAGCCTGTGTTCTTTAAGACTATGTTCTATATGTATGGTAAATTTCATCAAGATCCGCTGAGTCGTTTCGGAGTTACCTTTAAACAAACATCCATCCAAACTTTGGCATTTCTGATATTAGATTTTTGCATCGCGCGAGATTAGCGTTGAACGCACTTCGTGAATCGTCAACGCAAGTCGTCTATACAGTCAGTACAGGCAATGCGACTATATGTCAAGTGTATATGTTCAACCATCTCGTAAATTGCAGCGACTATTGTTACGATGATTTTGACAAACAGGTTGCGAGCTGTCTTAAGCGGTGATAGAAAAGTCGGCGACTCGTGTTGTACACGAATCTCTGACATTGTATCGCGTAAGTCGAATGAGCGACAAAAATTATCCTGTTTCTAATATTTACGTTGCTGGTGTAGGATGGGCTTAAGTGGGAATCTTTTGGTTGTAGATTATTTTCGAAGAATTTCAAACTTGGAACAATAAATTGTTCCGTATCGGTTTAACAGACAAAGGGGCGTCAGTTTACAATGACGAAGTCTGTAATTAAACATTCTATTCTTCTCTTGATTAAAGACTCCGACCATTGTTGTCCCTTTAAGTCAGTGAAAGTGTTGCCTTGCGTTAAGAAATATGATTTTAAATTGCAAACTGTACTTCACTCTATAATTTTAAGTAAGACATTTAAATTATGACTATATTTATATCTTATCTTACTAGTAATATAAATGAGAATGTTTAGATGGATGTTTGTTTGAAGGTATCTCCGGAACTGCTCAAAGGAAAGGCAGAGATGTAGAGCATAGTCTGGAAGAACACATAGGGTACTAATTATGTTTTTTAGTTAGCACGAAGGATGTCGCGGACGTCTGCTAGTAATTTTATACCTGAAAGGTAAGGTTTTTTTTATAGCCATGATGATAAAGGAGCAAGCTATCACGTTTGAAGACAGAAATGTGTACTATAACAGAAAGGATGTACAGAAAAAATCGTGGGAAGTAGACGGTGTACTGGTCTACGACACCAAGCTTGTTGTTGTAAACGCAGAATTACTTCCACTTGACTACATTACTGATCTTACTAATATTATAAATGCGAATGTTTGGATAGACGGATGTTTGTTGTAAGGTATCTCTAGAACG